TCACTTAATGTAGTTACTGGCATATCATATGTGAGTTGGGTTAAGACCTTTGCGTCATATAATTTCAGAGCCGCTAAAATTACACCTTGGCCCTCCTTCCTAAAAAAATCTGATAATAGCATTAACATTTCTCTCAGCAGAACAGATTGTAGAAGTTATATGGGCTGAGGAGCTGCCATTATAGTTGAAGGTAACCCCTAAATACTTATATGTTTTTACTTGCTCTATAGAATGTCCATTTATTCTCCAAATATCTTTCTTGTAAGCCCTGTTAAAATGAATAATCTTGGTTTTGGAGTAATTAATTGTTAATAATTCCTCATTACATTTCCTACTAAAGGTTCTTAAGGCCCGTTTAAGACCAACTCTAGTTTGGGACAGTAAGATGGCATCATCCGCGTACATCAGTATTGGAACCGCCTCTCCTCCTGAAAAGTTAGGGGCGTGGACGTCTATCCCGTGAAGAGACTGAATAAGGGAATTAACATATATATTAAACAGGGAGGGGGCAAGTAGACAACCCTGTCTTACTCCCTTCCGAGAGGGAATAAATTTTGATAACATTCCTTCACCATTACATCTGATTTGTAATTGCGTATTCTCATGGACTTTAATCATCAGATGCAGAAGTCTTTTATCTATGGTTGAGCAATTCAGTTTTGCCCAAAGTCTTCCCCGAGATACAGAGTCAAAGGCCGCCTGGAATCGCATGTCCCCATCATGGGTGGACAAAATCAGCATGATAAAATCTTTATCCTACCAAAATTCCTCTTCTTATTTAGAACTCTCCCGAGCCTGCTTTCCAGAACAACTTTAAACAAATGGCAAGCAGAGATCAATAAATTCTTCTGGGACTATAAGACTCAGAGGATCAAGTTCGCTGTACTAAAATGTCACCAAACTGAGGGGGGCTTGGACATTCCTGATCTGACAGCCTATTATGAAGCTGCCAACCTTGCTACAATCGTAAGAGTCTTCAACACTACATCAGTCTTGAACTGGCAACAAATAGAGGAATGGACAGCTGGCTCCGTCCCACTAGCGGACATCTTTTGGAACTGTCCAAAGGACAGACCGACTCCAGTTCTCAGTAATCCATTCCTCAGCGCCTCTCTAGCAATCTGGGATAGATTCTGAAGAAGACTAACCCCAGAAAGATCTCAGTTCTCCTCCTTTCTCAATCAAAGTTGGTTCCCTCTAGGAAAACACAGAAAAGCCTTTGAAGCTTGGAGAAAAGTTGGCAGTACATGCCTAGCAGATCTGATTTGTAAGGGGAAACCCTACACACATGAAACTTCAACTGGAGGCAGTAATAGGAGAAAGGATTCCATGGTTTCAATACTTACAGCTCTCTCATCTTCTTCAACAGTTCTATAAACCCAGAGAATCGACTCAGCCTGTTTCCAAGTTTGAGCAGCTTCTGTGAAGCAGATCTGGAAAAATGACGGGTTTGATATAAAAATTGTAAAGTAAAGGTAAAGGTTCCCTTGCTCGAAAGCCAGTCGAATCCAACGCTAGGGTTGCGGTGCTCATCTCCATTTCAAAGCCAAAGAGCCAGCGCTGTCTGAAGACGTTTCCATGGTCATGTTTAGCATGACTAAACACCAAGGTGCACGGAATACTGTTACCTTCCCACTGAAGTGGCACCTATTTATCTACCTGCAATTTCTTGCTTTCGAACTGCTAGGTTGGCAGGAACTAGAGACGGGAGCTCACTCCGTCATGCGGCACTCAGGTCCCAAACTGTTGAACTACTGACTTTCCAGAGCCTGCAGTTCAGCGTCTTAACCATTTGAGCCACTGCAGCTCCATAAAAATTGTACAAAATACTAATTTCAACTTCTACACCGGGAACTTTAAAATCCCAAACCCTATGGCAAATGGACTGCCAGAACTGATTACAACAACAAGACTGGGAAACAATTAGAAGATCACCTAATATCACTTCAAAAAATTTTGCTATCAAATTTAATTCTTTTGTGGTCTTGAACCAATGGTACTTACCACCAGCTAGGCTACATAGAATTAACCCCACACTTCAGAAACTATGTTGGAAACATTGTGGGTTAGTAGCGGACTATATTCACTGCTGGTGGCATTGCCCACTCATAAATGAGTTTTGGAGACATATTTTAATTCACATTAAAATCATCACAGGGATTGACTTACCTTTTTGTCCAGAAATGGTCCTGTTAGACGACTGGTCTAGCATACCTGAAAACAAAGCAAAATATACCTTAGTATCGACTGATCGTAATTACCAGAATATGTGTTCCGCAAAAGTGGAGAGACGCTCTAGGCCCTACTGTGCAACAGTGGGAAAACAAGTTATGGGAACACTTTGTCCACGGCAAAATTTCCCCACAGGGAAGCAACGTTAGCATAGAAAAACATCAAAAATTCTTTTGTGCAGTTTGGTTTCCTGTACTTAAATAAACCCGTGGGGGGGGTTTCTCCCAAAGAACAAATATTATCAAAGTTTGTTATACTTTTAATTCAATGTACTTAAAAGTTTAATTAGGTATTTGTATTTATATGATGGTTGCATTGCACACTACATGTTAGCTGGTTCTTCTACTATTGTTTTTTTTTTTTAAATCAAAAAACTTTAGGGTTTTAACAGTATAACATGAAAGTATAACAAAAACATTTTACAAAGGCTACTTCACTTCAAATTCAATACACTCAAATTGACTTCGTTTACAACTGTATCTTTATGTTAACCATAATTCACATTACTTATCCATATAATAATATCTTATATTTAGCATCAGTAATAGTTTCCCAATCGTATTTATCAAATGATAATTTTTCTAATATGGGATACCATTTCCCTAATGGATTATATATCTCACACTCATTTTGATCTACGGTGTTATATATTGAAATTGTTTCAAGTTAAAAAAAATCCCAAATTTTAGAAAGCTATTGGTTGATGGTAGGAGGGTGTTTGTCTTTCCAGTTCTTGGCTATTACTACTTTTGTAGCCGTTATTAATATATTTATTAGCTGTTTTTGCCGATTAGGCGGAACTTCCCCTGGCCATAGATTTAACAGCATAAGTTGCGGATCAAGAGGTACTTCATACCCTGTAAGTATTAATATTTTACTTTTAACATCATTCCAAAATTTAAAAATATGTTTACAGTTCCACCAGGTATGAAAATAAGTAGCCTTTTCACCACATAATTTCCAGCAGAGTGGAGAAATTTTTGAGGTCATATGTGAAAGTTTAACTTTGTGTGATGTATTTCATTAGATTTTGAAATACTGTGTTGGGTTTTCCAAATACTGTCCCATTGATCTTTGGTCAATTTTTTTTGTAGGTCTGAGTGCCATGCTTTTTGATAGCTCATTGGTTTGGTGTGAGATATTTGGAGTAACAGTTTATAGATTTTGGAAATTAGGCCTCATTTTTTACATCGTTTAAATAACATTTTCTCAAATTCCATAAGAGGGGATGTAATCGCTATTTGTAATTCAGTAGATTCAATTAGGTGGCACAATTGAAGATATTCAAACCACTTTATCTTAACGTTGTACTTTTTTTCTATTTCAGATTTTGTTAAAAGTTTATTTTTCAAGACCACATCTACTATTCGGGTGATGCCAGCTGATCTCCAGGTAAGAAAAGTGTTCTTTTCCTTGGCTGGTTCAAATTGTTGTTGTCCTATAAAGGTATATGATTGCGAGTGTGGTGAAATTAAAGCATACTTATTCTGATGCCATACTTTAAGTGTATCAATTAAGAAAGGGTTAGTTATTGATTTATATCTTTTGGATCTCTGTGGCTCCCAGAGTAATTCTTGTATTTTAGTATTATTTAAAGTTTCTTCTTCTAGCCATTTCCAGTCTAGGATATCTTTATCATGGTATTGTCTTAATAACGAAGCTAGTGAGGTTGCGTTACAGTATAGTATAGTAAGATTGAAGATCTGGAATTGCTAAACCTCCTGTTCGCTTAGTTCTGCGAAGAGTGTTGTGTGGTATGCAAGATTTTTTATACTGCCAAATAAATTTATTTATACCACTTTGCCATTTTTTAATTTGTTGTTTCGAAATTGAGACGGGTATTGTTCGAAAACAATATAGATATTTAGGTAGTATATATGTTCTCAAGATAGCAATTCTGTCAGTTAGAGTAAATATTCCAGTGGACCAAGATGATAGTTGATTTGTAATAGATTTATGTAAGTCTGTATAACTGACTTTGACTAAATTAGATAGATTTACCGGGATTTTTATCCCTAGATACTGAAGAACATTTTTTGTCCATTGATATTTATATTTTTTCTGTATATCACATAACACTTCCAGGGCTAAGTTTATACGATATATGGTGGATTTAGAATGATTAGCTTTTAGACCTGCAACGTTTTCAAATATATTCAAAGTTTTTTGAAGGGCCATTAGGAAAAGATCTGGATTTGTCATGTATAAAATAATGTTGTCTGCAAATAAACTTATCTTAAATTCTTTGTTGTTTATAAAAATGCCTTGAATGTCTGAATTTTGTCTGATCGTGCATGCCAGTGGTTCCATTGCTAGGGCAAATAAAATTGGCGAGAGGGGACAGCCTTGGCGTGTGCCCCTCTGAAGTATAAAATCATTTGATGTTGATCCATTTATTTACAGTTTTGCTTTGGGTTCTGAATAAATTGCTTGTAAAGCTCTTCGAAAGGTGGGTCCAAATTGCATATGTTTTAAAAGGATGTCAAGATAGTTAATTTCCAAAGAATTGAAGGCTTTTTCTATATCAATTGTTAGTAATAGAATTGGTCCGATTATGTTGTTTTTCTAAATGAATGAGGTTTAGAGTCTTACGGATGTTATCAGCTATGTCTCGTTCGGCAATAAAACCGGTTTGATCCTTATGTATATACGAACTTATCATTGATTTTAATCTAGAGGCTAAAACTGAGGTAAATAATTAATAATCAATATTGAGTAAAGAAATGGGACGAAATGATTTGGGGTCTGTTAGATCTTTTCCTTTTGGGGGGATTAATATTATATTTGCTTGTTTCCATGTTTCTGGTAAACATCCTGCTCTTAGAACCTCATTACAGGTATCCGTAAGAGGTTTGCTTAATATTAAAGCAAAAGTTTTGTAATATTCGGCTGTATAGCCGCCTGGCCCTGGGGCTTTATTATTCTTTAGATTTTTAACAGCACCTTAAGAACATAAGAACATAAGAGACGCCAATGTTGGATCAGGCCAAAGGCCCATCCAGTCCAACACTCTGTGTCACACAGTGGCCAGAAATACCAGTGCCATCAGGAGGTCCAGCAGTGGGGCCAGGACATTAGAAGCCCTCCCACTGTTGACCCCCCCCCCAAGCACCAAGAAGACAGAGCATCACTTGCCCCAGAGCCCCTAGCTATACCTTGTGGCTAATAGCCACTGATGGACCTCTGCTCCATATGCTTATCTAATTCCCTTTTGAAGCCGTCCATGCTTGTAGCACCCACCACTTCCTGGGGCAGTGAATTCCTTGTGAATTCCTTCAATTTCTTGTGGATCTATAGGTTTTTCCAATGTTTTATAATGTTCATCAGTGATTTCTTGTAAGTCTTTAACCGAGTTTAAAAATGCCTGTATATTTATAGGGTTGGGCTTGTTTGAGGAATATAATGTCTTGAAGAATGTTTCTAAAATTTTAATAATTTCTGATGTCTTGGAGCATATTCTTCCTGATGAGTTTCTAATATTACTTATAAATCGATCTTCTTGTTGTTTCATAAGTCTCCATGCTAAAAAACGTAGTATTTTTGGGTTATTGATTGTGGATACTTGGTGTAAGTGAAAATTTGATTTTTGAATTTTTGCTGTTTCCAGTGCTTCCAATTGTTTTCTAGCATTTTGTAATCTCTTGTAGATTTTAGGATTGCATGTGTCTATGTTTTTTCCACAGATCCTGTATGTCATGAATTAATTCAGAACGTATTTTCCTTTTCTCTTTTTTGCAGAATGTTAAAAGTGAGATACATTTCCCTCTAATGACTGCTTTTGATGCTTCTCACAAGATTTTTTTAGAAATATCTTTGTGTGTGTTAAATTGAAAATATTCTTGTAAGTGGGATTGCAATTCAAGTTTGGTTTTTGTATCGAATAAAAGTAATTTATTTAATTTCCAATGATGTGTGTAATGATTATCCTTAAGTAACTGAAAACAGCATTTAACTGGAGCATGGTCTGACCATTTTTGGATAGCTATCCAATGATGAGCATTTTTGTAATAATTCTTGAGAGGCCAAAATGTAATCAATTCTAGTGTACATTTTGTATTTATTAGAAAAATATGTATAATCTCTCTCTTGGAGATGATTTAGCCTCCAGACATCAAATAAACCCATATTTTGTAATAAAAATTGTAATTGTGTCAGTGTCTGTTGGGTTTTTTTTTTGGTGGTCTTCATTGATTCCCCGGGTGATTTATCCATCTTTTCATCCATTCAATAATTTAAGTCGCCACCTACAATAATCGGGCCTTGTTGAAATTCAAGAAGCTTTGTGAGGCATTGAGTTAAAAAATTGATTTGATCTTTTTAGGGGCATAAATTGTCACAATGGTGATGGGTTGTTCATTCAAGGTTCCGTTTAAAAAAATATATCGGCCTGCTGCATCAATTATAGACTGATCCATTTTAAATCTAGTAGTTTTGGAAATCAAGATGGCTACACCCCTAGATTTGTTTGTACCCTATGCTATAAATTGAGAATTAAACCAGTTCAGTGGAAGCATCGCCCATTTATTATATATATGTCTCTTGCAAAAATGCAGTATTTATCTTTTGCATCTGTAAGTCTTGGGCGATGCATTTGGCTTTAATTTTTGAATTTAGACCTCTACAATTCAGTGTGAGGATTTTTATGTCTGCCATGTTATAGTAATAGGATGCATAGAGTAAAGTTGTTTTGCAAGAGTCAGTGAAATTTTTTTGTTGTTGGAGTGTGCAACTTTCAGCCCTTTCTATTAAAATTTTTCTGATAGCCAAAGCTAACCTAAGAAGCATTGAATATAAACTTAACATTATATTGTTTTTAAACATTAATGAACTTGTCATATATGCTATGAAAACAGTACAATGAGTATCAAGGTTTATTACCTTATAACACCTAGTCTGCAGCTTGTAATAAACCATTACAAATTTTATTTTTTTTACACTGAGCAACATGTAGGGAATGACCCATATAAAATAGTAACATTACA